CAATCCTTTTTAGATTCTCCAAGTCACCGAGCCATGCTTTCCATTTGGTCTCTAGTGCCGGAGGAATAGGATCATCCCATCCCACTCCGCGTTTGCACATTTCCTGGAGTACTTGTTTTCCTGTCAAAATGTAGGGTGAGAGAAAACCTAACGGGTCATACACACTAGCAACTGTTGCTAGAATTCCTCGGCGTGTGGCTGGCCTTTCTTTGAGGGCTACACTGAATGAGAACACGTCAGCCTCTATGTTCCACTTTACTCCCAGCACACTTTGCATTTGAATTACAGAGTAGTTCAGGTTTACATCTTTGGTCTTGCTGGCTCGTTCTGTTTCTGGGATAATGCTCATGACCTCCTTGTTGTTGCATGCAAATTTGTGCAAGCGCAGTTTCCCTTTTGCACAGACCTCTTGTGCTTCACAGACCAGCTGCTTGGCTTCCCTGACTGAATCAATGCTGATTAGCCCGTCATCCACATAAAAGTTTTTGTGAATGAATCTGGCTGCCAGCGGGTAGTCCTTTTTTTGTTCCCTGGCGAGATACTTCATGCCATAGTTAGCACATCCCGGTGATGATGCCGCTCCAAAAATGTGCACTCGCATGCGATACTCCTTAGGCTCAGTATCTGTATTCCCGTCCTTCCACCACAGAAACCTTAAGAAGTCTCGATCCTCTGGGTTGACATGAAAGCGATGAAACATTTTTTCCACATCACACATAATTGCTATTTGATGCTCTCGAAATCTGCACAAAACCCCTGCCAGAGCATTAATCAAGTCTGGGCCTGTGAGTAGGTGGTCATTTAAAGAGATGCCTTCGTGTTTAGCAGAGCAGTCGAAAACAACTCGAATTTTCTCTGGCTTCCTGGGATGATACACGCCATGGTGCGGAATGTACCATGTGTTACTACCTGATGTGCCATCTGCTTCCTCTGCATCACCATCTTTAAAGACACTATTCATGAACTTGATGTAGTCTTCTTTGTACTTTGGGTTCTTATCCATTTTTCCTTTTAAACGTTTCAAGCGAAACATTGCAAGCTGCTTGTTATTTGGAAGCTGTGGGCGTTCTCTAAAAGGCAGAGGCATTTCTAAATGGCCTTCCTCATTGTAGTGAATGTTCTCATTCAGCATCTCTAGAAACTGAATGTCCTCTTGAGATACACTCCCTTCTTTATGGTTTGTGTCCAGAAAGTCAATTTCAAGTGCTTTAATCACAGAAGCAGGTGTGACAGATGGCAGCTCCTTTACTGTGACACGATGACAGATCCCTGCTGCTTCCATCGAACTTTTCCATGGCTTAATGGCTCCCACGATACTCCACCCTAAGTCTGTCTTTATTGCATAGGGATCATAATCATTTCCTGGTATGACTTCCCTTGGCTTTAGTGCTCTTGCACAGTCGTAACCGATGAGAAGAGCTATAGGACAGTCCAAGAGATCTGGCATTTCATTTGCAATGCTAAGTAGATGGGGCCACTTCTTTGCTGTCTCTCGAGTTGGAATAGTGTGTTTCTCCAATGGAATGTACTCTTGAGTGTAGGTTGGTGGCAAGTCAATGTACTTTTTTGAGTTGTACCCTCTTACCCTCAGTCCATCCACTCTTTGACTAGGTACAATCGAACACCTGTCAGTCATTGTTGTCAGCTTTAGCTTCACTGGTTCCCTGCTTGCCTGTATCTTTTCACAAATATCTTGGTCAATAAATGTGTTGCTGCTTTGGGTGTCTAGCAGAGCATAAACCAATGTCTCTTGATTCTTCGCTGATGAAGAAAGCCACACTGGAACAATCATTGAAGTGCAATCATTGTTGCCCACTCTCACACTGCACGATACGGTGGCTGCATTCTCCTCTTCTGATGGTGGTTCAGGTTCATCTCCCAGTGGAGGATCTTCATGGAGAGGAGAAGGGTGGCTTCGTCTGCAGACATTACATGTTGCTCTCTGTCGACAGTTTTTGGAAATGTGGCCGACTCGCAGACAAGCAAAGCACATATTGTTGTCCCTAATAAACTGTTTCTTTTCTTCAAGCGGCATTGCTGTAAACTTTGCACATTTATAGATAAAATGATTTTGCTTGCAGCAGATACATTCAAGTTTCCGTTTGTTCTGAGTTGAGGAAGGGTTGGGTTTTGATTTTCTTTGGCTCTGAACTGGAGTTGTGTTCTTCACATCTTTAGACCCATTTGCTGATGTCACCAGGACACTGGCCTTCAGACGTTTTTGTTCTTTCTCAGGTTTTTCAAATGTGTTTTTTAAGGCAAACAGAGAAGAAACAGGATTACATGCTATACGCGCCTCTTCAGCCACAAAGTCCGCAAATTCTGCAAACCCTGGATATGCCTTTTCTTCATCCAGTAATTTTGTGACATAACGATTCCAGCGGGTTGTGGCCCAGTCAGGAAGTTTCAGCAATATTTTTTGATTTTCTTCACAATCATCTAAAACCTTGAGGCCTTGGACGTGAGGCATAGCATTCTTACAAGAAATGAGGAAATCACTAAACTCTCTCAATTTAAGTGACTCCTTTGGACCAATCTTTGGCCAACTGCTTAGTTTTCCCCTAAAGGCTCTTTGAACTACAAATGGGTGTCCATAGCGTTTGTTCAGAGCATCCCAAGCTTGTTTGTAAGCTTCCTCGTCACTTCGATAAAATGTCCCTTCTAAAACACAGAGAGCTTCTCCACCAATGTACTTCTTCAAGTAGAACAGCTTATGGGCTGAATCTGTGCAGCTAGTCTCGATAAGCGCCTTAAAGCAAGTGCTCCACTCAACAAATTTAAGTGGGTCTCCTGTAAATGTAAACGGCTCTGGCACTGGGAGTCTAGACATTACTAAGGACTCTTTTAATGCCTGCACCAGAGAGAGCTCACTTTCTTTTGGCACCACTTGAGTATCATAGTGAGGGGCGTGAACACTTTGTGAGGTAAGGATGAATTTACCTTCAGAGTGAGGAGGTGCAGTGCTCTGAGGGACTTGGGTGCATGGGGGACTGCTAAGTGGTTTAGGAAGCTGGCTGAAAGACAAAGTACTCCTTACTTCACAATTTCTTATTTCAGCATTCATTTTTGATTCCTCTTCAGCATATACATTGTATTCTGCCTGAATGACCTCAAGATCTCTTTGATTTTCCAACATTTTCAATTGCTCTTGTTGAGCTAATATCTCCTTTCTCCGGGCAGATATTTCCATTTCTCTGTTTATTTCAGCTTGCTTTGATGCCAGTCGTGCTGCTGCCTCTGCTTTCCTTGCAGATACATGACTTCCTTGCTGACTATGGCTGTGCTGGCTATTTCTTCCAGCTCTAGACACAGTTGAGCCATAAATTGATTCTGCACCTTCTCTTTGGAGTAACTGAAGGAGTGATTCTTTTACAGCTCCTGCATCAAACTCTTTGTCAACATCTGCGTAACGCCTTTTCAGAAGTATCATCATCTCAGCAGAAACTGAAGTACAGCTATCCATCTTTCTTCTCATATCTTGAGATGGTGTAGTCAGTGCACGTAAAGCCACATAATCTTGCTGTAGGTCTAACTCACATTTTTCTACTGACTTGATCATTTCAGCTAATTCTGCTTTAGAACATTCTTCTTTAAGTTTGGACCTAGTGAGCTGAATTTCTGCCTTAAAGTTTAAATATGTTGACATAAACTTTCTTTCTTTGCTTGTTATCTCTGTCTGTTTAAACTCACGCATTTTTTCTGTTAGTTGCCTTTGACGGTCTGTCCGTCTCACCTCTGCGTCAGGTTTAGATGATGGCTGAGGCAGCCCTATTTTGTGTATTTCAAGGTCTCCATAAATTTCTCCTATGCGTGCTTCAACTTCTTCTCTTTCTGCATCTTCAAGTTCAGTTTCTAATTTCTTTTCTAACTGTGCCTTTTCATCTTCTAAGGCTATAAGTATTTGCTCAAGGATATGAGTTTCTTGTGTACTCTGCTCCATTACAATGTTTTGAACCAACAACTTAGAACAATAAAAGGAAACTTACCCAGAGTACACTACCTTAAATATCAAACAGCACAGTAATAAACTTTCAATAAATGAACAAATGTACAATATCTACACCATACAATTTTCTTTTTGGCCTTTTCTTAGATCTCTTTATGCAGTTCAAACGTTTCGCTGATGTAAGAACTCACAGTCTACTCTTCCACGTGGGCTGCCGTCTTGGAAGAATGGCGTGCAGGGCTCTGGCTGCTTGCTCCATAACAGGCCACGTTTTTCACTGTAACTGCTCCTGAAGGTTTTTCATGTTCGAAGTAGAATAAAGGGCCATGCTCCAACTGATGTTCAGCCAGTATTTTAATCTTCTTTTCACCAGCAAACACCGTGAAAAACTATGGTGAAATGATCAATGAAAAACACGGATATTACATCAGCAGAACAAAAATTACAACTCAAATAAAACATACACACAAAGTAAATGCACCAACATACCGTGTGCGCCTTTCTACTGAACATTCATGAGCAATTGTAGTCCATATTTTCTATATTTCCACCCTTTACACAGGCTAGCATTCTCTTTCTGGCTCGAGCCTTCAGTCTCTGGTGACACGTGCGCTTAATTGAGCCTCACCCCAAAGCATGCGCACCACAAAGCGCCACACTCAGGCCCACCAGTAGGTGGCGACAACACAACATGAATCCAGATTAAACACCAAATTTTGAACATTGCAATCACATAATAATTACATTTCAATGCGACAGCTACATGGGTAACTGTTGAGGAGAAATGGCAAAATTGAGTTCTGTGGCTAGGACTTCAGTGAGATTCCTGTCTGAAAAGTTCTTCACTCATTTTTCTTGACTGTCTTTGGTTGTGAAGTCCTCCTGTTCTTGTCAATATTGTGTATGTGTTGACTGGGAAGTATAAGTTTTCATTAGCAAAGTAGGGAATTTCTAGAGTTGTCTTTCTTTTCCTTTAGAGTGTTGGGTCCGCTGAGCCACGGCCACAAACTTAAATAATGAAAACTCTAAAATAGGGTAGGGTAGAAGTTTTTTTGAGTTCTAACTAATCTTGTGCATCTATAGTGAAATGGACCCGTCTTATCCTTTCACTTGGAAGTTGATTTTGTGCACTCCATAGAATCGATAAAACTCTGCTCTGAGTTTGTTTCAAACTCTCTGAAACAAATCTGCTCTGTCTGCATCTTAGATTGAAACTGACATGCTGAAGAGTTGTCCCTGTGGAGCTGTACATCAGAAAACTCCACTTAGTCACATGAATATTCTGGATGAGTTTCAAAAGATTTACTCCTTTTTTTCCTCATTTTTAACAGAACCAAAGGTCCAACCACCAATTTTGTTCTGCTTATCCGTGGCTTGATAACAGAGGCAGTAGCCTAGGCAAAGACGCCCAGACCTTTTTCTTTCCACTGAGGCATTAGGCCAGCTCAGAGATGTCATTTCTCCTGCACGTCCTGGAGTCAGGTCTTGGGAGTGAGCAATACAGAGAGCACCTGGTGGGCTGGCCTGTAATGACAAGATACGTGACAGGATATGTTACACTATTTATACGTGATTCAGCAAGGTCTACAGAATATTGCTGGTCACATGTTCCCAGAGACTTAATACTTTAGCCATTAGCTGCACTAGGTTTTAACCAGCAGCATTTCTTTACCTTCCATTTGTCGAATGATGCATTTGGCAAAGTGCACCACTATTTGGAAAGCTCGTCTTTCCTCCTTGGTGCTGTTCCAATACTAGGTGCAGATATTTCCCATCAGGATGCTCTGGATGGTGCATGAGTAGAAGTTCTTGAGCAACTTCTGAGGTAGGTGGAAGTCTGAGTTGTCTGAGGAAGAAGAAACGCTAGCAGGCTTTTTTCACCAGCGTGTTAGTGTGACGTACTAGTTTCTTTCTAACAATTCTCTCCCTTTGTAAAGGTACATCTTGAACAGCATAAACTGATCTCTGAAGAACTATTCATGATAAGGGACACTAGAAGGATCACTAGCAAACATGCATCAAAACATCTTCTGTATAACTTCCCTTTTCTGTTTACTTTCATAAAACCATTGCTGAAGAGTGAACACTTAATTTCTCTTGTTATACACACCACCCTATCAGATGCTGTTACACAAGACTGCAATTTATTGAGTACTGGAGATGATCCTCCAGCTATTGGGGAACTAGACCCAGAGGGGGTAAGCTGGCCCTCAAAGATATTCAGCTGCTCAGATGAGCCAAGGCTACTGGAAGTGTTTCTCTCACTACATTTTCTTTAACATCTCTTTTAAATGCATAATTTCTTGTTCAGACATTTAAAAAAACATTTTTAAAAAATTCATATGACGGTCCAACAAAACTCACTTGGATGGAGAGCACACCTTATAATGGACTTGAGGACGTAGAAACACTGCGAACAGTGAAATCTTAAAATGTGTTTAAATATCAGCTTTTATTGCTGATATTGTTAATAATAATAATAATAATAATCTACACCTCTTCATAGTCAGGATTTTTTTTGAACCCCTATATCTGAAAGTATTTCTATTTTTGTTTATGACAAACAAACACGATGGAGCATAAGAGTTACTTAATTACATCAGTTGGATTCTAATAGACTAAATCACTGGGATTTTTACTTCCCAGAATAATTAGACAGTGAAAAAAACCTTTTCATGTATTTTCAAACGGGAATGTGAAAGTGTCTGTCTTTAAACTTTAGCTCTGTCTCTATGCTGGGGGTCTGTGTCTGTCTTGGGCAGTGGCGGTTTTTGATACGAGCGACAAGGGCGTGGTGGGGGGCGGCATCACAGGCATCGGCAAAAAAATAAAAAATAAAAAAAAATTGCTCGTACTCATGCTGCCCCGACACCAGCCAGCGCATTCTGGAGATGGCATAGGCACCGAACGGTTTTCTATCGCCCATTTGCTGGGAGTAAGGGCGCCCTCCGTTTGCGAGGTGCCTGCTGCTTGCGGCACAGGGAGGAGAGGGCGGAGCGGCGGGGGATTCTCTGGGTGGCTTGAGCAGCATCTAATAACCAACTCACAAAATAAAACAAAATAAAAACAAACCAACAAACACGAAAACACCAGACATCATGATACAGACTTATAATTTGCACCGATGTTTTTTCAAATTCTATAAGCGAAAAGTGAGCGCGAGAGCCCTCGGTGCGCCTGCTCGCTGCTGAAGTCAAAGTAAACTTTATTGTCATCTCCGCTACATACAGTCCAGTATCCGGTTGTTCAGTGATGACGCGACGAATCCTACTTCCGGGTCTAAAGTAGTCTGCGTTTAATATGGCTTTTGTGTTGTTAACATGTTTAATGTTTTGTATTTTCTTCTATTTGATCTCAAAAAGCTCCTAAAACAGTCAGTGATCCCTGTTGACCTCCCTCGGCTTTTATTACCGCTAATCATTTATTTAAGCTCAGTTTTTAAAACCCTAGGATGTAACTACAGCCCAGCCCATGCAGCAGTATATGAACGACTAACCTCGTATTGTGGATGGATTATCTCAGTTGTTCTCCTGGCTGAAGTTTGGTCCTTTTACAGCATCCTGCCATGCGATTACATTTGTTTCTGACCACCGAGAACACTCACGTTAACTTTTATCGAGTGGAAAAAAAGTTAGCTTGTTTATATTATGCTAACATAGCTGTGTCGCTAGCGGTCACGTAGCACATTATATACCAGCTAGCCCAACTTCAGTAACCCTACAAACGTCACTGCTGTTTAGTTTTCTGTCTTCATTTATGCTGGAAGTGATAGCAGAGCTGCACGTTTTAATTCGTTTCCAAAACCCCGCAGTCAGGACATGCTATATTGTATTTAGATAGAAGCTAGCGAGCTAACTCCCTGCTAACTTCTAACTCCGTTAAATGTCATAAATTCGGTTTTCATGGATGCCTGGATGTTAAACTCAATTGTTACACCTGGTAGAGCAGAACGCTGATCATTTTATTAAAGATGAAAGACTTTAGACAGTTTTTCAACTCTCAGTAATGCCATAGTGATCGTTTGATATATGGACCTGCAGCGGAGTTTAGACCCAGACACGGCTAGTGACGTCAGACTGAACAACCGGATAGAGAGACGAGAGGACGAGGCTCCAGATAAGTAAACAAACAATAAATATAAGAGTAAAATAAATATACACTTTAGGACTCGGGGTAAAGGGATCAATAACAATTTAAAATTTATAATTTACAGTTTGATGATTTAAAGTCTCTCACACACAACCTGTCGAAAGGGGAGGAAGACCTGCTGCTTCCAAATAGAGCACATTTCATTCATAATGTTGTAAATCCAAGCTCATTGTGTATTCCTGATTTGAATCCTGGGTTGTGCGAAATCCCAGAAACAAAGCCTAGACAAAGTGAATCTGTGAACTAAGGTGTAGGTTGGAGGGTATGATGGCGCCAGAGTGTTCGCCCGGGGCGCCAAACAGGCTAGGACCGCCACTGGTCTTGGGACATGTAGTGGTGTGAGATACTGCAAGTTTTGGTATCGATTGGACATCAAGTAAATACAGGGCCAGTATTACGAATACCAGTATTGATGCACTTAATCTATAAAGGCAGCTTATATACACGAGAGTGGAGTCTTATGGTGAATGTGATGGATTATCATCAATTTGCCAAATAAAAATACATTTTAATCAGACTGAGATCAGATCACTGAGATTTTCAAGTATTTTGAAAGAGCGTTTGTTTGTTGTAAAATGTAAAAGTGCATATTTTTAAAGCATATTTGGTCAACATCTGTTTAAATGTCCTAAATGAATAAAATAGACAATCCAAAAAAGTAACTATATTATATTCAATAAGTGTCATTGGCAATGGTCAATAACACTTTAAGTTATGCTTAAGAACTGGGATGAGTCATGACTAAAACATGACTTTCTCCACTAAATTGGCTAACTAAATGAGCTGGGACAAAACTCTGCTGTGTTCACACACAAATCAGTGTAGTCAGTGATTTCATTTACTCACTGTGGCTGCTCTGTGCCACTGAGTCACTAAGTAAACTAAATATAGCAGAGTGAAGTGTGCCTCCATGGGAGGAGCGGTGTTTGCACAATCACATCTACTTTCTGACGATTTCGAGCAAGGGAGTGAACTTAGAAGAGAAAACAACAAAGTACAGTGCAGATCTGTTTTCACTAATTAAAATAAATAGTTAGTGGTTTGCGCAAAATGATTCTATAAAAATGTGACACCAAAGCTGTTACACCCCAGCCCAGGGAAAACTGGCGTGCAACATAATAAAAATAAAAATAAGGAGAAATGCCCCCACACACAAGGAAGACGAACCAACAAAAAAAACAGCTACCATGGATTTCACAACAGCCAGTCAATTTATCAAGTCCCAAAAGGTAGCAGGCATCAGGGTGAGCATGGCCAAAACAACAAACAAAAACTCGAGAAATGAAATGCAGCTGGCTTACCTTCACAGAAAACCCCAAACGAAAATTATAGGCATCTTACCTGCCTCCCTAACCAAAAACTGGAGAAAAGGTTCCCAAAGAAAAATGGCTTCTCACCCCTACAGCTACCGAGTAAGGAAAAAGTATCGACAACTATTTCCATCTATATACAACAAACCATTTACAACACAGGGGGAGAGCACGACCATGACAAACTGAAACACAGGGCTTAAATACGTAGAGGGAGCAATCAGGGAATGGACAACAGGAGGGAAACACAGCTGGGGCAAATCAGAACTGACGAGACAAGGAAGCGTAAACTGAACACACTGAGATAAGACAGACCTTCAAAGTAAAACAGGAAACACATAACAGTCACGCCTAAAACAAAACACTGACAACATCGAATCATAACATTTCCCCCCCACCCAAAAATCAAACATTTAACCCCAAATGAAATGTTTGATTCATGACCTAGAGAGGACATCAGCCATGATGTTCTCTAAGCCCCTTTTGTACCGGCTGTCAATGTTGAAGTCCTGGAGGAGTAAGGACCAGCGCATAAGGTAAAACAGGAAACACATAACAGTCACGCCTAAAACAAAACACTAACAACATCGAATCGTAACAAAGCCTTTTCATCTTAGTTAGCTGGCAGAGAGTTCAATGGTATGCAACAGATGCACTACTGACTTGCTCTCACAGTCTTTGAACTTTGTTGTGAGAAACTGTGTTTCTTGGCTTCCTGATTCAGGTTTATGCAGCACAGATGCTTCGTGTGATTTCGCTCAATGAACACTTTAGTCATGGTTTGTAGTGTTTGGGTTTCCGTCTCCAATGTGACTCATTACGGTGTGATATTTTTGGTTGCCAAGCTGTGTATGGAGGTGATTTTATAGCTTCGAAATTAGATGGGAATGTGTTGTGTTTTCTTAAGAGCAGAAAACCAAGGGGAAGTTTAAAATGTGGTGAAGCAGTTAGGCAGGGAGGTTTCTAGTCAAGGTCAAGGTCCCAATGTACCCTCTGCAGTGGTTGCATCACTCAATTTCATGCTATCATCAAGCACATGCAGTCATTTATACCCACCATTAAGGCACAAGAAGCCGCTACAGTAATTTCCTAAATGACGGCTGTCACCACTCAGACAATGTTACATCAGACATGCTGATACGGAGGAGAAGTCAAAATCACAAATCAAGACTTGTCAAGACAAGTTGCAAAAATCAAGAGGTGCATGACTGGCTCACATGACACAAGTGATGCGGCTAGCATAGTGAAGGGCCTGGGACAGGACCTTTCTGTGAGGAGTGTCACGGTTCTCTCCATTTCTCCCCTTTTCTGCATTGGTACTGTCTGGCTTCTCCAGCTTCCTCCTAAAGACATGCAGTTAGTGGGGTTAAGTTAACTGGTGGCCATAGGTGTGAATGGTGGTCTGAGGTACCCTAAAGATGATCCAAAAGTCACACAGACGCGATGGGAGTTTAGCAACAATTATATTTACTCGAGACGTTCGTGAGTGTGTTCTGCTCTATTTATATAAATAAATTGCAGCTTAGATGTGTTTTTTCAAAGGTGATCTAAGCCTGAGAGTTGTTTCCACACCATGTGCCCGGAGAGGGAAGAAGGCCTGAAGTTTAGGAGCCATATGGGAATTGATACTTTTCTCTGTCTTACTTACTCCTGTCTATTTCCACATGTATGCGGACCTGGGTCGCTGGCTGATCTTACTCTTGGTCAGTCTGAGGGGTTTTTTTTCTTCTTTTGACTTTCTAGAGTAAAAAGGCTGTGAAGGTTAACTGTTTCAGGCAAAAGTGTTGGTGAGGAAATGGCTTCATTCAATAGGAGCATGCTCAGACAGTAACTCAGCATTTCAGGCTTGTTGTTATGTATCAAGTCTAAGAAAAGGTGCTGAGGGTGTCATTTGGGGTGTTGTGGAATTTTCTAAATAAAGTCTGCAACACAAAAAAGGCTGTGGTCAAGCTACTTCTTACTACGTGCAGGAAAACACACATACACATCAAAACATAACAGGTTCACAGCAATGAGCGTTCTAACCATGGGGCGTCGCAGCGTCCCTTTCATACCATCGCACAAACTCTGTGTATCTTTTAGATGCAACAGTCTTTTGTCCAACCCGGGCTATTGCTGAACAAAGAAGACTCCCATTATCTTTTCCCAGGCCAGCACCTGGCACTGACCCTGAGCTTCATCTGTCTGAGCAAAACAGTTAGCAGATAGCATAGTGAACATCATTAGGCAGCTAAGCAGTTTTCACAAGGTCATGCTGACACATACTTACTTCATCTTACGCATGCAAAGGTTATACAGAAATCATACAGTGAAATTCTAACCACCTAAATCTAAATGTGAGGGTTAACTTTAATTTTCCCATTACAGGGTGTTGAGATTTTAAATGGACTAACAATGAGGTGGAGTTGTTTCTGCGAGTAACACAAAAGTACAAAGTTGCAAAAGCGAGTGAGAGTTAAAGAATTTGAGGAAAGTTATCTGGAGCCTGTACAGACTGATGTTAATAGAGCTTTCAAAATTCAGAGGAAACTGCTGTATAATGCCCTTTTATCTTTGGTTAATTGGTCACATGACTAGGACTAGGAAGGCCCAGAGCCCAGCCATTTGGCTTTTCTACCTTTAAAACCCGGAGAGCAGGAGTGGATGAACTAGACCTTGTCTTGTTGATCTTTAGCCTCACAAATGCTGGATGTAACAAAAACAATCTCGTCCATCTTGCTTCTTAGCCCGTGTTAAGTTTAAGCAAAAGGCTTGGTCAGGTGATACAGAGAGTCCACCATCAGCAGACTTGTTTCCTTCATCTGTGCTGGAATCCTGCTCCACCACAATCTCCTGTAAATGCCCATTGTGGGAATACATTATTATAACTTTAGGGATTTCGCCGCATAAGCGTTAGCAAAGCATTATACTTTTTATTCATTTAAGTAGGTCATAGGTCAGTAGGTCACACTAACACACACACAGGATAGAGAGAGAGAGAGAGAGAGGTAGAACTGATAGAGTGAGCACAGCGTGCATGGAGGCAGACACTCCCTAGCACTGGCAGTCCCAGGCTTCTACCTTTCTACCTTTAAAACCCGCCACCAGCCAAATGGCTGGTAGGCTTTTAGCTAAGCTTTAGCTTCAGGCAAGTGGAAGCTAAATTGGCTAGTCATTCATATGTAAATTGGGTTGTTACCTGGGAATTCTGGAGGGAGGGGAGTGGGGGTGTGTGGATGAGGGGGTGGGGGAGCTGCTAAAAGCGGTGAGCTTCCTTTTGTTTCATCTTGATGCATTCTCAATCATCCAGGGAAACAAATCTCCAAAAGTCACCAACTTGGAGTGTTTCAGTTTGCCATCTTAGGGAGAAATCAACACACATGGGTGTATGTCCTTTGTTGCTGAGATTTATTGATAAAAACAGTACAAAAAATCAACCATTTGTACACATTTTTACAAATAATTATAAAAAGTGAGTGAGTACATTTCAACATTTTCAGCAATCACTCACAATCCTGGCACTGCCATGGTATCTGTAGTCTGCATTTACCACATGTGTATCTGTTGCAGTGAACACATCGCACAGTGGCATGATTGTTCTTGCAATTGTGTTTGACCTGACACATGGCTCTTTTTCCAGGGCTCGGTGTGGAGGGTTGTGTCAAAGGCAACTGTTCTTTTCTTGCCTTCTTCGCAGCTACATGAGAGTGAGCTAACTCCCTTGCAAGCTCCACCAGGAAGTCCACCCGTCTTTCCTTTGTCCCGGAGCATGCTTGATACAGCACATGTGCATTCAGTGCTGCCATGTCAATCATGTTATAAAACACGGCAACTGGCCAGCGCCGTGTTCCTCTGCGGACAGTGTACTCCCGAACCATCTGGTCCATCTGGACCATCTGGGTTTTGTGCCTCGCCCCGCGCTGAAACACAAAAACGTGCTCCCCAGGATGGAAGCTGGCTCCAGCAGGTTTGTGAGGACCTCAGAGCTCAGCTTCAGGGCCTGCAGGGGATGTCTGATCACAGCTACAGCTGCAGTTATTATATGATATAGCTGTTTACAACTAACATTTAAACTCTCCATTCCTTCAACCTCTGCTGCCACGCTGACGGCGTATGCGGCCAAACGGAAGAAGACAGTCTATATTCTTAGCAGCATGCACGGCGTGGTTCAGACTGATAACACTACCAAAAGGAAGCCAAACACTGTCACCCTTTACAACAAAACAAAGTGTGGCGTGGATGTGATGGACCAGATGGTTCGGGAGTACACTGTCCGCAGAGGAACACGGCGCTGGCCAGTTGCCGTGTTTTATAACATGATTGACATGGCAGCACTGAATGCACATGTGCTGTATCAAGCATGCTCCGGGACGAAGGAAAGACGGGTGGACTTCCTGGTGGAGCTTGCAAGGGAGTTAGCTCACTCTCATGTAGCTGCGAAGAAGGCAAGAAAAGAACAGTTGCCTTTGACACAACCCTCCACACCGAGCCCTGGAAAAAGAGCCATGTGTCAGGTCAAACACAATTGCAAGAACAATCATGCCACTGTGCGATGTGTTCACTGCAACAGATACACATGTGGTAAATGCAGACTACAGATACCATGGCAGTGCCAGGATTGTGAGTGATTGCTGAAAATGTTGAAATGTACTCACTCACTTTTTATAATTATTTGTAAAAATGTGTACAAATGGTTGATTTTTTGTACTGTTTTTATCAATAAATCTCAGCAACAAAGGACATACACCCATGTGTGTTGATTTCTCCCTAAGATGGCAAACTGAAACACTCCAAGTTGGTGACTTTTGGAGATTTGTTTCCCTGGATGATTGAGAATGCATCAAGATGAAACAAAAGGAAGCTCACCGCTTTTAGCAGCTCCCCCACCCCCTCATCCACACACCCCCACTCCCCTCCCTCCAGAATTCCCAGGTAACAACCCAATTTACATATGAATGACTAGCCAATTTAGCTTCCACTTACCTGAAGCTAAAGCTTAGCTAAAAGCCTACCAGCCATTTGGCTGGTGGCGGGTTTTAAAGGTAGAAAGGTAGAAGCCTGGGACTGCCAGTGCTAGGGAGTGTCTGCCTCCATGCACGCTGTGCTCACTCTACCAGTTCTACCTCTCTCTCTCTCTCTATCCTGTGTGTGTGTTAGTGTGACCTACTGAC